CCATGCAACTTGTGAAATGGCATCATCAAATACCAATTTTACTTTTCGATCACCTTACTCATGGACAAACAAATAGGAGACCCTGTAAGCTTTAAGCTCAAAGACAGAAAGTCTAATCCTGTTACCTGGCTTTGCATTTTCTTTCACACTTGTTTTGTAAGGTGCATTGAGGAAGTATGGTGCACCTTCATTTTTCCTCTAGAAACAGAAAGGTCCAATGTGAGACAACACAGTACACAGTCTGCATTCAATGTCTGAAACTTTTTCAGTTCACACACGTTCGAGGAGCCAGTACCACTCACCTTCAGCCGAATAATTAAAGAAGTGTCCGATGCCAGCGGCGGGTCTCCATAGTCTATGGCCTGAATGATAACAATGAATTTCGTGGCACCATATGGAGCAGCCGTGATGTTCAGGCCACCCAGGAGAAACAACTGCCCAGAATCGGGGTCGATCGACAGAATTTCTGGATTGGATAGGTTTGTGGCTTTGAGCCAGTACCGCACCCTGCCGTTGCCTTGGCTTGGACCATCAATATCTGTGGCCTGCAAGAAGACCATATCCACTTGTAAGAGAAGGTATTTTTAAGATGTTTGCATCATTAAATGATTCATCGAAACAAATGTGTACAAGTAGAAAGTCGCGATTTCCCAAAACGTGTGCTTGGACAAGAAGGGCTTGTTTATACCAAAAAAAGGCTAACACATACAGGGTGACTGAAGTCACCCGGCTCAATCTAGAATGGGCCGTAAAAATTGGCGCCTGCCAGCAGCAATTTAAATTTTTCATCAAACATGTATTTCACAGGTTTTTTTGTTTTTTTCTGTAAAATCAAAAAGTGTAGTTTCCCTTCTGTAAAAAAAATAGGGCTAAAAACTTGCCAGGGTCAACGGCGGTGGCGACGCAGACGACCAAGTCGAGTGGCGGGGCCGCATTTGGCGCTTGTATTGATAGATGGCACAACCTGCTTATTGGGACTGCTCGCGACCACCATGGTTCATTAAAATGAACATAATCTTTGTGTAATGTATTTTCGGTTAAAAAATAAATGCAAACAATAAAAGCAAAACTTGAAGAAAAAAAAAAAGATGTGTTTGCATAACGGCGGCGCTTTTGCTGCCAATGAATTCCGTCTGCATGTTGTCTGCTTTCTTTCGCTGGCCGGCACAACCTTCCTGTGCCATCTATCAATATGCGCGCCAAATGCGCCCCACCAACTTGACTTCGTCGTCTGCATCGCCATCCGCCTTCGACCCTGACTTCAGACACCCTACAGAACTAGTACTATTACACACTATTATTTTATTTTTATTTAGTCCATACTGCAGACCTCAAGGTTCGAGCAGGGTGGGCGGAAGAATAACTCACGCTACACAAACATTTAAAAATGAAAAAAAAAAAAGAATAAATAAAGAAAACTGCTGCATAGAAACACACACATACAAAAGTATACATATATCGATACCTACTATATCAAATCCCATTCACATTGTGATAAATTAGAGGCTGAAGCTACTTATAAAAAGTGCATGGCCCTTTGTGTGAACTGTCTAAGATTTCTTACTTTCATTATCACTAGGTAGTATCTAACTTAAGATTATGTGAGAAGGTTCTCTGAAATCATATGAACTTTGGAGAAAAACAAAAATCTGAAACACTAATGGCCAAAGCAGATGTCACAAGCTGGTTGTCACATACTGATTGTCATAGGTAAGCAGTAAATGCAACAAACTGTTTGCAAGCACTAATAAGGTAGATTCATAACACCATGTAGCAAATATACAGCCAAAAACCAAAGAACTTTGCCCTGTGGCACGTTTGCAACGCATGCAGCTTCAACAGCTACTGCTGTGACGCTGCACGCAAAACGAACATGACAGGGAGAAATTCGTCACTTATTCGCAGCATATTCACTCCACGAAGCCTAAGCTTAAAAGGGCAGTGCAACCATTTGAATGTTGAAAGAACTGGCAGTTTGCATTTTTTTAGTGTTTATGCAAGCCCAAGTGACCAAAAACGCGTCCCCTTTACCAGAAAGACTGCTAGTCTGCTGCGTAATCACAGAGCAAATAACGAATTATTTGCTGATCTGTAGCCACCTGTCGGGGTTTACGGGAACTAAAATGTCAGCGTCTCTAAGGGATACGCGGAAGTCAATAAAACCCGCCCCTTTCCGCTGCTACACTCGCCGTCAGCCCCGTGGCAAAACGTCCTTTGTGTCGATCGCTCGCAGCGACCTTCGACGATGCTAATCCCTTAAAAGTCGACAATCACGGAGGAAGCGGCTGGGGTCTCTGAAGAGAGGGCCCAAGGGGAAACCATGTGAACCCCCAGAGTACATAACTCGAAAGTCGACGTGGAGAGTTGAGAGGCACTTTGACCTTCGATTTGTTTCATTTTTTTTTTTTTAAACAAGAACTAGCGCTTGCAAGAAAATACGGTTTTCTGCTTTTCGTTCCATAGGTGACGCAGATTAATTTCCACAGTTAATTGGCCAAAGTCTGAAAATTGTTGCACCGCAAAGGTTAAACACTACAAACCTTGACAAAGATGGGAGATGCAAATTCTGTGGCATCTTCCATCAAGTCCACCAGGTAGCTGTCCTTGGTGAATTTGGGAGCATTATCATTGACGTCAACCACTTGAATAAAAAGGTTCACTGAGGAAACCTTGCCACCACCATCCTGTGCCTCATATGTGAATGAATAATTGGGCACAGTTTCATAATCGAGGCAGCTATCTTTGCACATGCCTATCCTTATTTGTCCTGTGTCTTTTTCCACTATGAACCTGGAAGAAAGATGGAGCAGAGCGCTACGTCATTTATGTTTTATGCTTACTTTATCAGTGTCACTAATGCAGCACAGCAATTTGTGTAGATAATACATACATCAGACATACAAGTCCAAATTTATGAAGCAAAAAATTTTTAGGGAACCGTTTCATGAGCAATTATCATTAATATACTGTAAACGAGTTAATCTTTAAAAGAACTCAATTTTCACAAAATTTGCAATCTCCAAAATACTGTAAAAAAAATAGATCATGCAAATATATTACCCTACGGTAATGGATAAATGACACATCACTCTCAAATGTGAAATTTTGTGCCCACGGAACAGTTAATAAACACACTTTTTTGCAAAATGCGAGACATATCGAACTTGCAAAAATAAAGTAGTTTACAGTTATCCAGTAAGATGCCGCTACCACAAAATTTAAATTCTGTTCAATACTCTTCCCGGCTCCAAGTTTATCTTTCCATAAAAAACTATACTTTGGATCATTTCCAACAGAATTGCTAAACAGTAGGTTTCTCTTATTCAGTAAAGCTGGAGTGTATAATGGCAGAGAACATGTCACACCTTTCTGAGCCATAACCCTTCATGGCATAGGACAGCTTCCCGTATTGTCCACTATCAGCATCATAAGCCTGCAAAGTTAAGGAGACACCAGGACTGTAATAGACACATGATTGAAAGAAGGAAACAGAGGAATGATACATACAACAAGTGAGAACACAGATGTCCCATTCCTGGCATTTTCTGGCACTTGGATGAGATACTGGTCATTCTCGAACACTGGACTATTGTCATTTGCATCTGACAGGGTGATTGTAACGGTAGCACTAGAAACTTCTGATCCATGTTGTGATGCAACGACCTGCAAGCATACAAAATGATTGTATGTTACAAAAGCTTTAAAACATTAAGCATGTCTAACTGCTCTACAACAAACACAGTATAAGCTCAGACTGCAGTGTCAGTCAAGTCAGCTCACATTAAAATTTATGCGCAGAATATTCTGAGCCATAATGCAGCCTTGAAATGTGGCTTCATAAAATCTATATGAAAACAAACAAATGCAAAGCAACAAAATGAAAGTGAACATACTAGTGAAACGAAGAAGAGGTGCAAGTAATCACTCAAAAAGGTGAAGTCTGCACACCATAACAACAATTTTAAAAATTAGGTTCTCTCAAATAGTTTTATAAAAGGAGGTAGAAATATGTGTCAATATTTTCACAATTCCATTAAGTTTATTGAAGTCATATGTAACTTTTTCCTCCTTTAACATTGTACAGTACTGTTACATGAGTAATTCACCTGCCACCTGATCATTATAGCTTACAAAAGCTGAGAGTGCTCGCAGATACGACTGGAAAAGTTGAAAGAAAGTTCATATCGGTGGACGAGCCGATTATTGGTTGAAGGTAATAGATAAACTAGGAGTACATAAGGTACATGACATGCCTCTCCCCAAGGAATTAAGTACAGTGAGGGATAGTATAGGTCAGGGGTCTCAAACCCACTTGAGTGTGGGGGCCAGATAGGCCTCCCCAGAAAGTTTGAGGGCCAACAGGGGGGGGGGGGGGCTAATATATTTTAGAACAAAAACAAACAAAAAATCAGCTATGGTGTTTTAAGGCTTATGCTACTTGGCGCAAGCTTTCGCCTGTTAGAGAGGGTATAGCCATTAACATCCATCTATACATCCGTGTTTCACATTGCAAAGCAGCAGAGTCTTTCAGCAATACCCAGAGATTTCCTAAAGAAGGGATCTTGTGTTACTATTTGCTTTGGAGAACATTGTCGTTTTGCCGGTGAAGTCTTTATCTTTGACCTGTTTATACAACTATACTCAAGGTTTGTACCTGGTGTGATTACATGATTTAAAATACCACTATTTCGTAAACACGGTAGAATCTTTCAATAGAACTAGAAACATGCAAGCACACAATTGCTGCTATGGTGCTCAATTCACTCAAAAGTATCCAAGTCAAATGTCAAAAAAAAAAAAAAAACTATTTCATACGGTAATTTTTGTTTTCCTGACAATGTTGTTTTTTTTATCAGAATTATAAGAACATATCTGTGTCTTAACAGTTTGTTAGACGAAACAATCCTCGATCTAAAAGACAACAGATTAGTGCCAGATATGTTAAAACATCATGAGTAGATCAACGTTTCCAAAGGAATTGAAGCGACGACAAGAGGTCATTATTTAGGGCACGCTCGAGGCAGAAAAAGGGGACCTCGCAGCCATGGGATAGTTGTGGGCCGCATCCCAGAGAGTCGCGAGCCGCGTGTTTGAGACCCCTGGTATAGGTGGTATTCACTTGACGCCATATTTTAGGCGACTGCTCACGGCGCATGTTCGGCACGTAGTGTTTATTTATGGTCTCCCAAAGAAGACAATCTTGACGGTGTGCAACGTGCGTGTTGGAAGCTTGTTGTCAACATGTGCTCAGCAACGGCAGCAAGCTCAGCCATGCCTCAGCTATGGCCGCCAGTGAATATCACATAAAACAATTTTGAAAATTTTATAAACTTTACAAAGTGCCCACTTTTATTAGGAATATATTGTGCAAAACTGAATTTTCTGATCCGGTGTAAAATGTCCCATAAACCCTGTGTATCAGTTATTGTGAGCAATGTAACCATTTTATAAGTTGTCCATAATTGTTTATAATATATTTTTTTTTTTTTTTAATTTAAGCACCATGAAAGAAGTAATTTGCACTGAGCCCTTTTCCTAAACGAACATTGCCAAAGAGTCCTGAAAGCAATATATAAATAACTTCGATAGTCCTGGCTATCCCCCAAAACTCTCAAAAAAGTGGTGTTCAAAGCTGGCTCCAAACATTGTCGCTAAAAAAATGAAAGACGTTTACAAATCTCTGTAATGCGAAACTAGAGAGCAGCTCTTGAGGAGGAGGAGGAGAGGGTATGGAGGGAAGGAGTCAACTTTCCGAGGGGAGGTGGGCCGGTCAGGATGGTGACGACCAATGATGGTGTTCGCCCGATGGAAGTCCCCCCGGGAAGTTGAATAAGAAAAAAAAAACACTAAACGGTGTTCGATCCCACTGGGCACATTACAACATTGGTTGGTTTACAATGGCCAGTGTGGGCACATTTATTTCAAAACAAAATGACAAGAAGTCAACAGTAATTCACAATACCAAACTCCCAAAATTAAAACCCATACTTTAGACCCTAGTCTCAAAAGCCGAATCCCCAAAAATCCTCTCGGCACCCCTTTTCTAGACTCGTAGGGGCCTCCTTTCCCTCCAGAGACGGATCAATCACTTCAAATTTGCCCATTGTCACATGGTGCACTCTTACCCAATGATCAGCGAGCCGTCAACGTGACCCCCCTCTGACACCTCAATGGTCAAACTTAAATTCTTTGTAGATTCACTACATGCTTTCCTCGCCGCCTGGCTGGCGCCACCCAGTTAAGTTATTGCGTCAATTAAAAGTGAAGTTTCTATACTAAGCAGCGAAAACCCCAGACACAAGCACACCCGCTTAAAAGCTATAATTGTGGACGGATGTACCGCTGCCTAAGACACGGGAGTCCCGGCGCCCCAAACCGACACCCGATCCGTCTGTTAACGACCGGGGTCCGGCTGCTCGAAGCCCCCAGTGCGTGGGGCGGAAGACAACTTCATGTTTTCCCACTGCAAGCGAGCGTACCCCCTGCCGCGGGTCTGAGAGCAAACGCCCAAAAATGTAGACAGAAACGTAGGCAGGTAAAAAAAACAAGCCGACGCAACTGTAGAAAGATAAACTTTTCTAAAACAAATCTTACTTATTACAAACAAAATCCTTCGTTACTTAACAGAAGGGTATGCCCCTCCTCCTCCTCCGTACCCTCCTTTCCTCCTGCCGCTGAATTTGTTCATGGGTGACGTGACACGAAGTCGTGACGTCATTTTAGCGGGAAAACTGAATTGGTGTTGAAGTCACATGACATCAATTTTCCCGCTAAATTTAGCGTGAAAATTTCCCTGCTAACTTTAGCGGGGAAACGTCCCATAATGCAATGCGCACAATTACGCTAACACCAATGCCGATTCCGCTCTAATAACACTAATGTAATGTATTACCTAAAAAATCAACATCATATGATTCAGTCTGCTTAGCACAGAGAGACATACTAAAACAAATGGTCAACAACATTTGCTTTATATGAGAGAATATTCTTCCAGTTTCAGAATTCCCAAATTCAAAGACTTACGTAAAAAACAAATTCGCGTTGGCTCTCATTCTCGTAATCAAGGTGGCTTGCATCAGCAACCTTGATCAACACTGGGGTTCGTCCAACTGCCGATGAAGGGTAAACTGAAAAGACACTCTCAGAGTTGTTGATGTTCCGAAGGTGCAAACTGAATTTGGCATTGTCCCCCTGTAAAGATGACAAACGAGCATTCGTCACGTGCTGCTAGGAAGCATGCAAGCTATCAAGATTCCAGCGTGATTGGTACGCAAACTTCTATAAATCAACATGCACAAGACCCTTCACGGAGTGCAAGGTTGGCATACTGAGAAACTTGTTGGCTGATTAAATGCCATGCTTCCAAGTTGAAGCTGATGTGAGCCCAGGGCAGATTTAGAGGGGGCGGCTCGGATGTCCTGACCCCCTCTTGATTTTTGCATGTGTAAAATTTCGGGCGTGAAACGAGGGAGAGGGGGAGGGTGTTCCTAAACATATTGTACGCTGACCAACACCTGACCCCCCCTCAGGAAATTCCTGCATCTGCCTCTGTGTGAGCCTCCTTAGAAGAGGAGGGACCAATTTACTTTCGCTCACGAAAGAAGGCTGCTAGAAGATAAGCAGAGCCTTGGGTGGAATGTTAATTTCTTATCCATATCCAAACTGCATTCCCAAACTTTGTACCAACATTCCAAATCAACCACAAGCTATATCCATAGCTATACCTGCACCTTACCAACAATTTAATTCTTTGTTTTACATTTTAGGTAAACAGTGCTTTAGTACATGTGTGTTTGCAGAAACAAAACTTTCCGAAGACCACACAAATTGTGTTGTTCACATCAATCCGCAAACACATTGAATTGCAGTTTAAAGTAAGCATGTGCTATGGATGCATCATGTAGGTCAGAACAGCAGCCGAACAAAACATCTTGTGGCAAAGGTCTGTTCAATTTAATTCAATTTAATTCAACATTTCTTTTTCATGTGCTTACCAACAGCCCAAAGGCCTTGTGGTAAAACACCAAACATGAGACATTCACCACAAATATACATGCTTAAACACACACAAGCTTAAAACCATACACATGCTTAAAATTTATACACTTGCTTAAGGGGGGCAAAATTGTACAAAAAATATCAATGCTGCCAAACTGTGTTTAAAACATGTTAGATTTGTGATACCAGTGACGACTTGTGATGAAGATCTGCGTAAAATACTCCGATTTCTAGAGCTGCTAACAGGAATACGGAAGTGTAGAGAAGCAAGAAGAGTAGGAATGTCTATTCATCCAAGAACTAACCTGTGAAAAAAAAACCTAACATCCCAGATAGATTTCTTGTTTTTTTAAAGTACAAAATCTCAGTCTAGATAAAATAAAATAATATTCAAAATAATGTTAGCAAACAAAATATTTCTTGTAGATTATTTGTACAAATCGTTTCTGTATGTGTTCAATGTTTTCACTTGCTGTACTAAAGTTAGAGTTCCAAATGATAGATGCAATTCAAGTTTAGAGCATACATGAGTACTAAAGGATCTCAACAAACAATGATGAGTGGTATATGGTCTAGTTAAACGAGCAATTATTCCCAACATGTGCAGGGACTGGATAACAATGGAGTTCATGTGAGATTTAAGAAAAGGTGATAATCCACAATAACCCCTTGATCTCTTTCAAGTGTGGTTCGACTTATAGTTTCATTTTCTAGGCAATATATATAGGAGAGCATGCTACACTTCCTTGACGGAGACATCCCTTGGGTTTTGCAGGGGTTCAAAAGTAGTTATTCGAGATGCACCATTTTTGTACTGGACAAAAATTGTCCTGCAGCAGAGTACAATCGGTGATAAAGTTCACCTGCTGAAACAGCTCAAAACCGTCTGCAAATATAAGCACCTGCGAGCGTTGCACGGAGAATATCAAATCGTTTATAACAATAATAAACAAAGGACCAAAATTCAAGCCCTGAGGCACACTCAAAATAGACAAGAAAGGATGTGACAAGCAGCCACAAGCCCTAAGACAGTTCTGTCTTTTATGTCGACAACTCCTGAACCAGGCAATGTACTCAGGGTCAAGGTCAGGTTGATGCAATGTATTGCATCAATCATGACCATGACTCTGAGCAATTGGCCTAGAATAATTAAGAAATGTGCATAAATTTGTTCCAATGGATCTGCCTGCTAAAAGCCCATGCTGCACAGAAACTACCTTTCTTTTAAAATGATGCAAACATTTTACTGCAGACCTTCACAATAAAGTTGGGAATACCATCAGAGCCTGTCGAAAGTGTAGAATTCAGTTTTCCGGTAGTCAAAAGCACCTTATCAACCATAATGCTTGTAAAAGGCAAATAGTCACCAAACCCTATGTCACGGGCAAAGTGGTGTTGACATTAGGAAAACATAAACTAATATTACCGTAAAATATTGAGCATCCACCCATTCCACACTAAGCACCCATCCTTAAATGTTGTAACATCTGAAAAAATATGTGCAGGGCAAATATAGATAAAATTTATGACCTAACAAATGCCCATCCCCCAATTTCTTACGATTATCTCCAAGCTTTGAGTGGGCACTTGGTCGGAACTTTACGGCATGTGAAAAGAGCTCAAGAACAAAATTTGGGGACATATGGATAGCAGATTCATTGCTTGTCTTTTTCCTAATATGCTTCTTCAAAAAGTGCCAGAATTTTTTGAGTAGCTTGTTTAGGCTAAAGGGCCGTTCGCACTCTTGCAACCGAGTATGACCGAGAGAGACAAGACCGGTTTTTAATCCTTTTGCGACTTCTTAGGACCAGACGCGCTACTGCGGAGCTGGTCCTAAGACGTCACAAGAGGATTAAAAACCGGTCTGGTCTCTCTCGGTCGTACTCGGTTGCAAGAGTGTGAACGAGCCTTAAGCTCTACCTGCTTATGGTACAGGTACTGGTTATTAGCCAGAAGTTTCTTTGTTAATTAAGGACATAGGCTATATATTTCATACCACATTCAGTTTTGCCATTTTTTGCAATATATGGTAATGTGATTTTAACTGTAATGTTGTAAATCCTTGGACAACCATATGGGGTACTTTCAGGATGATGAAGGTAGTTGGAAATAAGTATATCCACGCATTATTTAGCACCGATGTCAGATCGCTCACGATAAAATAAATATATGAATCTTGTAATATATTATTCCAATTTTTTTTTTTTTTTGTTTGTATTTATAAAAATAGAAATAATCACTGAGACCATATGCATATCTCGGTACACAGCAAGATGATATGACCTTAAAAGACATTGAAAACAAGATTGCAAGTGGAGATTGGTAAGCATCAGCATTTAACAGGAGATCATTTAAGTGAGTCACTTCCGAGACATGAATATTAGATAAAACTAAATCAATAATATTGCCCTTGCAATTTGCAAACACATTCTGTTACATGCAATCATTAAAATTTATATAGTTGAATAGACTATATGCTTTTAAACAGGTTGTGTCATAGAAATATGATTTAAAAATCCACTTTAGTGGCCCTTTAAGACTTCAAACCATGATTACCTTGGCTTACATTCTTTAAAACGGTCATGTAGTGCCAGGAAGTAGGTAGCCTCCCCCAAAAAAAGACGAAAAAGAGAGCCATCTGGCCACACATCAAAACAGTTCAAAGCAACCAACGATTCCTCATCAACGGCGAGATGAAAATAATAGTAAGTTAGGCGTAGCATCTTTAGTCGCGTGCACATCACTGATTTGTCCCCGAGGATGGTTTTTGCGATAGCTTCAATGTCTGAGACCGTCATTTCTGAGTCCAGACAGGACTGTCCTCCAAGAAAAGGCAACAGAAGCACTGAAAAACTGCATTTCATGACCAGAGCAGCACTTGACTTCGTTTCAGCTTGTATTGCTCTATTGAAGGCAAGCCGAAGCAGAGTCGAATGCACATCAGACGGCATTTGACATCCCCAACCAATTTTTATAAACCTTGAAGATTGCGTCCATCCTGAGTATGTAGAACACTGTATCCGTGTCTGATTTGTTAGCCGCAAAATTTAATTAACATCCACCGGTTTCACTGCACATGCCTTCAAGTGTGCAGGGTTCAAAATTAATCATTGGCCAGCATAGTGACTATACCTCATCAATGAATACATTGTATATTCATATATTCTACCACAAAGTATACTTGTGACAAACTTTTTGAATACCCACAAGCTATACTTGTGAAGAAAAAAAGACATGCTGATCAGACAGTGCAGTAATTCTAGTGCACATTCTTTGAAATGGCTGGCCATACATAGCCTCTCAAAAAATAAAGGTTGCCATAGTTATACAGATTTATAACCTATCAATAAAAAAATACAGTATATAACAAGGCCCAAAAACCACTCAGAAAGTCAAGGACTTGAGTCAGCAGCAGTCATTTTCATGTCCCACCAGCAGTGCTACACTAGCTAAATCACATAAGCTATAACAGCTTTATGAACTTCACATTCATCACTGCTGCATCTCTCCTCAAAGCATTAAACAAACTTCAGAGTTCCTCAATGAAAATTATTATTAATAAATATTGTGCAACAGTGCACAAAACATGGCTGTAAGCAATGATGGCACACATGCGGCATTGCGTATGGACAATACATATACAATTTTCTTTAACTCTTCAATGTGAGTCACAGTGTACACTGTCTACCAACACTTCTGCAATCATTTGGTAGGCTCATGAAAAAAGTTGCCTTCATATGGTCCATATTGATAGCACACAGGTGTCTCTCAAACTGCCTGCATCCAGAACAATTTTAAGGTGAACATTCTGTATGTGTTCTATAGTCAGTGACAGGTTAAGAGTTCAAGGGAAGCTTCTCCCACCTCTTTCCACTTTAGAAGAGTGAACGTTGGAGAGGAGGTTACCTCCTCTCCAGAGTTCCCTTTGTTTAAGTGGAAGAAGTGGAATTTGCCCTCAACTCTTCACTTGTCACCGACTAGTCATGTAGACTAGACTGTTGTACTTTCAAACTGCTCAAGCCAATAATGCTGCAGCATAAATTTGAAGGAAATTCCTGGTCAGTAAGACAGCCTGAGGTGGCAGCACTACCAGCACAGCACTGCAAACAACATTTCATCAAAACTCACCACATCATTGTCATTCACAATCATGTTGAGACCAAGGATTGCAGAGTTCTCAGGGATGTCTTCTGGGACAGACACACTAAAGGTGTTACTGTTAAATTCGGGCAGCTGGTCATCATCATCCATAATGACGACATTAACATCTGCAACAGCCACCTCTCCTTTTGGGACTCCATTAACAACCTCAACAGCCTGGAAACAGAAAGTGAAGCACAGTGAGTGCTGCAGACCCTCTGCTTCACAAGCAAGACATATCATGCAAGGTTGGTACCTTCAGACGTACCTCAATCTGAAAATTGTACAGCCCACCACCTTTTTCAATGTCAGGGTCCTCCCTGTCAATGGTAACTTCTGAGGTTTCTATGATGATGTGGTGAACACCATTCTCATCAACTTGCATAACCCCGAGCCTGAAGTATCCTTTTGTATCTAGAAATGATAAACACAATTAAAATAAGTAATGTTTCAGAAATAATGAGTGGCGAGTACAAATCAAAGTTGCATCACTGACAAGTTATGGTGTGTTTATAGGAATTAGGTGACCCTGCAATTATTTCAAAACAATAAATCTGTGGAAGAAAGTCTGCAAGCTGAAAGTTACACAAAAAATGTTCTATGCTGTGCTATAATTAGAGTTCAGCAGTTTTACAGCTCATTGTTTGGAAAAAATCGGATGGAGTCTTTTAAAGCTTAGGTGTATGTTATGTTTTCGGATAGTTTAAAATTCGAAATGTACTGAGGCTTCTGATTTTTACTTTTTAAGAGAGGACACTACCCAGAAAACAGATTCTGCAAAAAAGTCGATTTTGAAAAGTGCCCTATTTACATCCACCAACATCTAGAGAGTATTCCCAGACAGTTTGATTTTTATATACAATGCATAGTTATTTTTTTATAAATTATTTTCAGTCCACCAATGTTAAAGAAAAGGTTGAGGTTCAGGCACTTTGAATGCATTTTTCTCCAATCCACTTCTTGGCATAAATCCCACCTTAATAAAACTATTGTTTCAGTATGAAACTATCGAGATTTAATATTTGCAGCTTATATGCCAAAATTTTATGGAGACGGTTACTATGAACTTTGATTTTGCATTTTCATCTTCCTTTATTATAAAAAACTGTAATTTGCAAAACTTAGTAAATGTGGAAAAAAAAATTTTATACATTTTTTTTACCTTAAAATGCAAGTTTTCTGAAATCTCTTTTCATAGCAACAGGTATTCCAGTATGCATTCCACCAGAAAATTATGTGGTTATCAACACCATTTCTATACAATAGATTTATTGAGCAAATTCCATTCAAAGCTATGCTTCAATTCATTCTGGGGGTATAAAATTGGTTCACAGGGCTGAAGCTTTACGTGCCCTCCTTCTATATGGCTGCAAAGACCACCTGAAAATATCACGCCGGTTGAGCGAGCGGTTCAAAAGTTGACATTCCCAGGTAGTGTCCCTCCTTAAGACTCAACTTTCCAAGACTTGCCAAGCTTATCTTAAATGCTTACCAAAATCTCCAATAAAAATGTCTAATAAGAAATTATCAAGAATATGCACTTTATTCATATTCCTTATCAATTTGTTATTCCCTATCAATCTGACACAAATCATGCCAGAAATCTGAATACATTGGATTGTTTCAGGACAATTATCATTTAATCCTTCATTTTCTGGGCAGTTTTCCCAATATATACAGGCTTCACAAGTTAAACTTACCATATAAGTATATATTTCAATCACTTTTTCACTTGGTACTAAACATTTCTGATTGTAAAAGAACAGCCTGGTTGGGGGAAACAAGCTTCTGTTTGATCAAGATAATGTTCGACTCTGTGAAGCCAGACGTCGGACAAAAGTAAAAATCATATTAGAAGGACGAAAAAATTAATTTAAGCTTACTAGGTAAAAGACATACCCATCGCTTTTTTGGCAAGTTAAAATCCTAAAAGCTTGCGTTTCTCAGACTCTGGGGGTGAAATCGTTACTAGCTCATGTTTATCTAAGGTTTTAAAGATAATACAGAAAGGCATCTCCTATTTATAATCACTCTGATTCTACCACAAAATTTCCAAACAAATGTAAGCAAACAATGTGACTGCTGGCAAAGCCACTTTGATAAATTAAAAATATAATCACTCTGATTCTACCACAAAATTTTCAAACAAATGTAAGCAAACAATATGACTGCTGTTAAAGTCACTTTAATAAATTAAAAACCAAGAAGCACCAAAAATGGCCACAAACTTAAAGGTATAGTTCTGCTCAGCAACATTCACTGATAAGCAAGTTAAAGTTAGTGTAAAAAAGCATGAATGCATACCATTGAGGAGCTTAAATGACAGCTGCCTCCTAACACCTGCATCTGCATCATGTGCTGATACCAACAGGACAGAAGTTCCCTGTAGACATGAACACACCTTTTAATCAGGATCCTTACCTGTGACTTTTACAGTGCTGTTAGAAACTGCATATCAAAAGAGCCAAAAAAAATTCACAACTTTTGGAAGTCAAACAAGAAAGATGAAGCATCACCTCTCGGCTGTTTTCAGAAACAGTGGCTGAATATGACGCTGCCACAAACACAGGTGGTTGGTCTTGAACATCCCTAACTTTAATGATAACATCAGCTGTTGAGTTCATTCTGTTCTCAGTTGCAAGATCCTGATAACAAAGAAGGGTAAAAAGAGATATGTTAGTGGTGAAATACCTCAGAGTTGCCAAAAATAATTATTTCAACCAAAAGTTCTGAAATAGCACAGCATAATTTGCTGCGGCACCAAAATTATGCTTTCTTACGGTGGCAGGAAGGTCATTTTACATTCTAAATCTGCCACAGACACCGCACTACCGGTTTTGAAACTCCTCATATAAATGCTGTCTAATAAATCTTTCTAGAAAAGTACAAGCTCAAGAATAAATTTCCCTAAATCCTTATTACCTAAGATTAGGGCTGACATGTTTAAGGTGTCATTCTTCTTATTGAAATGTGATGGGTCAGCACAATATCATTAAGGAAGAGTATATGGTGAGGTAAGTTTCAATCTGCATGCCTGGTGCTCAATATTTCAGGCAGGTACATGTAGAGTAACTCTACATAGACATGCCCATGACCTTTCCACTAATGAAATAGCAATCTCATTAGTTACAACTACATTGTTGTTGTGGGTATATCTATGATAATATGGTTAACTGTACTCCACCATTATACTCTGTTTTATGCACCCCACTTACAGAGCTTCCAGCAGAAGTATGTGGCTTTATCTAGTATCTCATGTGCATGATAGCACATAAAATGAAATGCTAGATCATGCCATACATTTGCACCTGCAGCTTTGACAGTGTTTCTGCAATTATTAAGGAAAATAAAGTTTCAAAACTTGTTTATATTAAAATTGCTTAGCTGCTTAAGTAAGGATAAGTACATTTTAAGCTGAACCCAGCTTGCCACAGTGTTTGAGGTATAACACTAAAGTTGTGACACAATATGAAGAAAGAGTAAGTGTACATAAAAACAACTTACATTTGCCAGTAGGCTCATCACATAAGTTGTTTCTTCTTCGTAATCCAGTTCCTTGTCCAATACAATTTCTTGAAGGAACTTTCCAATACCCAGTCTTACTTGCCTCAAGGCAAACAAGCTGCAAGCTTTTGGTGTCTACAATCAAGGGAAACCAAATCAAAAGGGAACAATCAGTTGATTGCAAAGCTCTAATGTCAAAATTAACAAACAATCTTACAAATGGTATACTTCAAATTTTTTTTCTCCTATTCTACAACACATGGAAACCTGGAACTCACAAGTTGTTTCTGGCAAGTGACTTGGACATCTGCATTTAATGCCTAGATCAGCATCAGTCACTAGGACTCCTTTGTAAACTGTAGTCCCAATTGTAGTGTCCTGCAGTGAAGGTCAATAAAAATATGTTAAATGCAAATGTACGCAACTGTTTCTCTTGTGTGGGATGAGCCTCACCTCGTCCACATGGAATGTGTAAGGGCCGTTCTCAAACACCGGAGGGTTGTCATTGTAATCAAGGATGCTTATTTCTCTTTGCAAGGAGACCTGAAACAGGAATTTTGCCGAAACATCAGGTCATCAAATTACCATCAGCCCAACGTCTTAATGGTAGTGCGTCCACAACAACCATTGTTCCAGCGCCCATGTGTGATGCTTACCGTGTTGGCTTTTTGGCCTTGTGTCTTTTCGTCAGTAATGCTAATAATGACATCGACCGTGCTTTCCTCCTCCCTATCCAAGGGTCGAGTCAATTTTACGACGCCAGTGTCCTTGTTCACACTGAATGTTCCCCCACTGATATAGTATGAAAGCCTTGTGTGTTCTGGGTCTATGGCTCTTAATGTGTACACCGATGTCCCTGCAAGGAAATGACAGATGAGTTGGTTATTACATATGACCAGAACCAGAATCAGAGTTTTTCACAATGCTAATCCACTACTCACCAACTGGTGTATCTTCACGGATGGAGAATTTTTCCATGTTTCCGCCGACTAGAAATTCTGGTGGTGCATTTGCCTGACCTTGGCATAGTGCTTTGTTGCCCAAAAAAATTAAAAAAATATTGAGTTAAAATTCACCTTTCCTTTTCTATATAGAACATAAATTTGATGTCTCATAAGACTCACCTATCACAAGAACTAAAGGGAACCACCTCCATACTTCGAACGGTGTGAAGGGTGATGTGGCAAATGCCATTTTGTAGCTCCTACAGACTGGCCTTTTTATGCAATGCCTCCTTCCCCTTGAAGCATCTTGACAAGCCCTGAAATAGGTGACAATCTTGACCTTGCATCTATTAGGTCACACTAAAAAACATTGTTAATCTGCCAGATGTCACTACTTCTACACACTATGTTGTGATAGCTATATGCTGTTCATGGTGTTGGTTAATCACCAGATTACTCCAACAACACTGCCGATTTAAGGATTGAGGGTGGAACGAAATGCCACCGTTTCTATTAGAAATGCCAAACCTACAAAAGGTTTGCTGTAAAAAAAATAAATAAATAAAACAAAAGTGGGAGACAGTCTAGAGTAAACGAGCGGCATACCGTTGCATGTCGCAACTTTTCAAGGCTGTTATTCCTTCGTGCGGCGCTGCCCTTAAACCGGTAATTCAAACAGATCACCTCAATCCTCCCGCTTCAGGGCAGCGCTATCGTCGCGATTCAATTCGCGCGATTCTGTGACACAGATGACGCGCAGACGCAAGTTCATCCGAAGCTTGTTTTCGTTGCGATTCAACTGTCCCGGGCAAAGTAATGCGCAATATTTAAACTGCTCACCACTCGGATTCTTTCATGCATCCTCGCACGGATGCAAGCTAGGATATATCACGCCTTTGCGATACAGGGACACATCGAAGCTTCGATTGATATATAGGCTCGACATTCCAGGTCACTTACGAGGACGTGGTTCAGTCCTGGAGGTATCCACGACTGACGTCGGTATCACAAGCACACACGACCACACACACACACATGAAGTCACAAGCACAAACGCACTTCACGCTGCACAATATACTCCAAACGAAGTTCCAAAGTGGCAGCTGAGGTTTCAGTTTCCCAGTCTTTTACGCCATGTCGAAGCTCGCGACGCGGGACGACGACGTCTTGGGCCGTCGCCGTAGCCAGCCGAGAAAGTAGGGGCGCGCAACCGTGACTTGTTCCCGGGAGACAGGTGGACGATCGAACGACACTGCTCACGATATCCAGCCTTGTCCGACAATCGAGGTAAAATGTAGAAACAAGGTTCGCCTTGTTTCTCAGCTGCCCTCCTCGCCTGGCGGCCTTCTTGCTCCCCCCTCCTTCCTTCCTTCCTTCCGAGATGTGGCGGCGGCGAACGCGGAAATCTGGCTCGGAAGAACCCTCCGTGGCACTCTGGTCGGCGTGGAAGGGCGTCAGTTCCCAAGGCTTTCCACTTGGGAGCAGTCAACGCACTAAACCGGTTTTCCGCCTCCATGACTTGACCCACACTGGGAAAGGCCCGACCGGTGAGAGAAAGAAGGGGCCCCGTTGAGTCTGGAATTCTCGTGCTCGCTTCTTTTCCTTGCGATTACGTCAGTAGCAGGCGGCAGGCCGGCGAGCGGCGAGCAGTCCGCCGGCGCTAGCTGCCGGAGCGCAACACACGAGTGTCCGGTGCGCGCTTGGCGGTCTTCTTTTCTTTTTTTTTTTTTAATTTTTTTTCTTGTTTTTTTTTTTTTTTTTCGCTGCGTGCATTAGTGTTGCCGGTGCTCTTTCGATTTCCAAGCTCCGCGTTTATTTTCGGCACCGTATGCCAGAACCACTTTTTGGCCAGAACACACCGCAAAAATAAATTAGGCATCGCGGAGAGTTCAAACTCCGTTAGAACGTAGCCCCCACCGTTCGAGCTAGATGCCAAAGTTTCAGCACCATGAAATTTCCAATAGGAAATTGGGTCTATTTCCGCCCGTTTTCGGTTTCTAGTGCCATAGATCGAGAGCTCCGTCGGCCGCCATTTTCCTATTGAAATTTTCAGAAAATCGCTTATAACTTTTGAATAGGGTAACAGTTGGTGCTGAAACTTAGGCATCTTGCTCGAACGGCTGGGGCTGCGTTCTGGTATACACGCAGCAGCAGAAAACAGTGCACTATGTCAGACGTCAGGCATTTATACGCTGCATCAACTACCAAATCCCAGCAGCGGTGCCTTGCCTATAGACCTTTCCAAAAAGAGCGCTCTGGCCGCCGCCATTTTGCGAATCGAGCGACCCCTATCAGCCAGAAATGTGTGGCACCCGCCTGAGCTGTGGAAACCCGGTCACCGTGACTCCCCACGTGCATTTTGCATTAGGAGTTCGCCGGCTTTTCTTGGAAGTATTTACATTATTTACCTGTTTAGGATGCCTACCCTTTGTGTGTTATCTTCCAGTGTGAGAACCAGGGAATATCAGGGCTCGTAGCCCGCTCGGCCTTCGCAGGAAACGAACGAAGAGAGCGAACGTCAAGCAGCCCGCGACGCAGGCAGTTCGACGTGCTTGGAGGATTATTTCCGTCGAGATAATCTCCAAAAAGCCTTCCAGGCTGTGTTCCGGGTCTTCGCAAAAACTAGCTGATAGGGTCGGGTCCGGGGTGTGGCGACATAATAAGCACGTTCGTGCATTTGCTATGAAGCTGTGCAAAAAAGGAGCTCTCTTCTACATGTTCCCCAAAACACGCCGGATTCCGTCCGATCGTCGTGAAGTGACTATCGTCGACACTGTATATTGGACATTCTGTGTTATTTGAGACCTTTCTCAAGTCATGTTCGGATAACGCGGCACCGAGGGGTACGTACAATATATTTTTTGTTCGATTGATGAGACTCATTGAATTTTATGTTGTGGGCGGGGAATATCCATGCAGTACGGATATCCTGTGTGGTCAAATATTTTGACCTTTATAGATTGACACGGCTGAGTTTACGGTGCCGTAAAACAATGAACATAAAATGAAACAAACATTCCAGTTGCATTTGTACTGTCGCGCACGGACTCACCAAAACTGCTTTCATTTCTTTGTTTTTGTTCCCAAAAATAGAGCACTGCTTTCTTAAAGACCTCTATAAATTATGCTCGCCACAGAATACAAGATAAAAAAGAAAACGCGGCAATTCAGCCGCCACCAGCGTCCGGAATTGCGCCAACGCAGGCTGCCACAGCCTACTGACGAGAAACTCCACAGCTCAGCGCAGTCGGGCAACACTGACGTACACTCTCAAAACCAGGGACACGCGCTGTAAATCGCTTCGTTCGAGACTGCCGCTGGAAAGGTCTATTCGCGTCTCCAGCTCGCCGCTCGCCCTCCCGCGGCGGAAACGGGAAGCGCTCTAGTGAGGGTCCCCCGATTCTCCTGCTCAGCGGGCACGGCGGAACTGCGCGCGATCATGGCCCGCGAAATGTCGTTTCCGAAAGCAAACTACACTATTCACTGTCCCAACGTGGTGCTGCAGCCCGTATGAGATTGTACCTTATTAGAGATTTTGAGTATAGCGTATACAAGCAAACGCAAGCGCATGTGCGTTTGCGTTATGGTGGCCTGCTCCACGTCGCGCGTGCGCATCATTGCCATGCTCCAATCCAAGACCGCAATTCTGGCCTCCGCGCACGCGCAGAGTGGAACATGCAAAGCTAACGCACACACACAGCGCTTGCGTTTGCTCGTATATGCAATACTAAAACTCACTACTGTTTCACCGGTTTGCAACACCAACGAAACGTGCTGCAGTGAGCGGACGCGCAGGCAGGTCGGTGTTCCTTCAAACTGGAAAGGCTGAGGATGGCAAAACGACGGCGAGCAAATACGAAACGATATGAATGTTAAAAAAGTATTAATTAGAAAAATAATCTTTTTTTTTTTTTTTTTTTCTGGAGGGGGGATTTGGTCTGGAAGAATATTGGTGGCGACTTTGGAAGTTTTGCCGATTGTCAAAAGTCGCTACTTTGATAGCATCCTCAATTAATCTAATTTTACATGAATTTCTCAGATTAGCTAGGATGTCGTCATTGATTTCAGAATTTATTTACTTTTTCACTTAGTAATTAAAAATGCTGCAATTTTCACCAGTGATGATAATTAGCACACTTCAGATTGTCATACTTGTTAGCGCGTTTGAAATTAGATCATACACAACTAATTATTTTAGAGCTTGAAATTTACGTGTTAAAATATCTTAATATTAATATTTATAACATTATTAATAAAAATCGCGGCAATATATGCCCCTAATTAACCGTACAATCACAGAAATACGCCATTTAAAAATGATCGTCTTTTCTGAAAGGTGTCATTTTGATTTCTTATTAGCACATGAAGACCTCTGGCATCGTTACCAAGATAGACAAACAGTCAAACACTGGATGCAATATAAACTGATATGCGTCACACGTTGCTTTAAAAAGACGCACACTTCAGCTGCCCGACTCGGATTTTGTCTTTGAATTTTTCTAGTGAGAACAGCGTTTCTTAATATTAATTCATACGTTTTGTGACGTATAAATTGGATTTATTCTGTTATTCTTGTGCTGTGAAAGATATTAAAGCAATTAATCTTCTAAATACCCAAAAAGCCATTGAAAGGAGCGCAGTTCATTGATTTATATGACAATTATGGGAGCGAGAAAAGGCAGCAAGAATGCAAAACTATCAGCACTGAAGTTTCTAACTACAGCATTCTATGTTACCTCTAAGGTGTATGAAAGACCCTGTCTTTAAAGGGAAGAAGGTTTCGCGAACAACCTCTTTAACTAAATAATTACGGTGTGACACACATTTTGAGTTATGAAATAATCTGAAATTAAGACCGATACCGAGAAATTAAATCCAAAATAAAGGTTAGTTTGGGTTTTGCTCCAGAATTAAAACGTACCTCCTGGCCTAAATATTACCCTAAATACCGTTTTTATTGTCAGGATAAAGAGGTGACCTGCGCTCATAACACCCTAGCTCCCTAGTATTACCAGAAATAATTTGTGTCACTCAGTGAAGCCAGCACACTAGACAGGCTCAGCAGCGGCACGCATCTCCGACCCTCACTAAACCGGCCATTTTGGAAAACGAGTGGCGCCACCTATAGTGAATTGGAGTCGCGGGCGGTTACAAGTCAAGAAGGTAGGAGAAGCTCCTCCCACAAGTGTGATGCGCCCGTTTCAAATCTCTCCGCAGTCGAAAGAAGAGTTCACTGGAAACGCTCCTTGTTCCGCTTCAATGGATTCCCACTTGTCTCCGATCCCACATTTTAAGAAAGCGACCTTTGTATTCATCGGAGAGGGAACCGAGCCCCTGAAAGCAGCCTTTGTATCCATCGGGGAGGAAGCTAATCCCCGAAAGTCTTATTTGTTTCCGTCGGTGGGGGAGAACTCTAATCTCCCTCTCGTGGCTTCCACAGTGCTAAGTCAAAGTCGAAAGATAAAGCAAATATGTACAAAAAGGCAAGACCCTCCTCGCGCGTTGTCCGCGACGTCACGGAAACGGTGGGACGCTATTGGATGCAAAGGTGGCGGAGGGATATCTGATTCCCTTTGAGGGGCATTTGCCGCTACCTTCTTAACCTGTAACTGACTATAGTATCCTTTTTTAACGTCTTTTTTTTTATTGCTTATTTGTGTTGTAATTATGGCCATAGCCAACTTTAAATAAATCTCACAAATCAGTTTCTCAAATTCCGACAGTGTACCGCGAAAGTATAAATATTTAGACAATTTCATGTAAATGTCGGAAGTACGAAGCACCTCAATCAAAAATTACAAAAAACAAATCGATTTTTATTTTCTATCGTCGGTGACAGGTTGAGAGTAAAGTCTTTCCACTTGAGCAGAGCGAATGCTAGCTGCGAGACGATGTCGCCCCCTCTCCAGCGTTCGCTCTGCCGAAGGGGAGACGTGGGAGGAGCTTCCACTGCTCTTAACCTGTCACCGGCTATGCGGAGAGCAAGTCGTCTGCTTCTTGCGCAGGAGATGCGGTGACGTCAGAACGACGCTGAGCTCTGATTGGCTTTGATTGAAAGGATAGTGGGTAGACCTCAATGCTAGATGCCTTAACAACTACCACTTTTTTTTTTTATTAGGCAATAAGTGCTTGGTGTTCTGACTTCATCGCAACCGCAAGAAGCAGACGAACTTGCGCTCTGCATAGTGAAAAATTCTTTCTGCGAGCCATTCTGGCGTTTTATTGATCAAAACGGGGAACGAGAGCTAAGTTAGTATAATTCTCTCTCTCTCTCTCTCTCTCTCTCTTTGTTGCTTTCATTAAATCAAACGTCCACAACAACTTCTTTTTTTTTTTTTTCACATTGTCACAAAATTTGTTTTTCTCCATGGTGGTCTGCATGAAATTTAATGGTTTCTACCTGTCCCTTTTGATTGTGTCCAGTTTGCGCTTTGGTATTTATTTTCAATAACAAAACAATGGGACTCCTTTTTTTATTTTTTTTTTATATTTTTAAGTGGATTAGATGTTTATTTGGAACTCTCCCTGTAACGAGGCACTGTAATGCCTGAGACATAAGCTTCAAACATATGCTTCAGATATATGCCTTCAGACATATGCCTTCAGACATTTGCCTTCAGACATATATAATGCCTCAGAC